AACTAAAACCTCCCTATTATAATTGCCATTCGTACTGTCATCAGGTATGTAACTTGATAATAGAAATCGCTGCATCTTTTAGGCGCATCAATATTACATAGTTACATCCTGAGCTAATAAGAGGACTGTAAAAATAATATGGAAGGCCATACTAATTTTCTTAGAAAATCCTGCTTTGTACGAAAATCCGTAGATGACTCCCTAAAAACCTAATGGAATTTGAAAATAACCAATGCAGCATTTATCAATTAAAATAGCGTTTGCAAGAAATTCGCAACTTACGTTAAGAAGGTTAGGTTAGAATGGTAGCTGGTAGACACACCAAAGGGCCATCATTGGGACCTTTGTGGTACCACAAGGGATCGCGTTAATTTATAATAGGGGTATTCTCGAAGTCTTGCACGATGCACGGATTGCACGAAATGCAAAAAGACTATTTCAAATTTCGAAGAGTACGAGAGACCCCATTGCAAAGTGGTAGGATGCATGGGTAGCAAGCAGCGACGTTATGTATCAACTACAATAACAAGAGACAGCAAAAAAAAAGATTAGAGCGAGATGAGAGGAATGAGAGAAATTTGTAGCAATTCCAACAACAAAACAACTAGCACAAGGTCGCATTTGCATATTTTGCAGCGATAGGAAATGTTGTTTCCCATGTATTTTGTGGTTGTGTGTTTGCAAGTTATGCAATCCCTGCAATCCGTGCTACGTGCAATGGCTTTGCAAGATTTGGAGAATACCCCTAATATGTCTCCATTGCGAGATTTAAATGAGATTTAGGCCTTCGACAATATTCAACGTTAAATCTTGCGAGATTTACCATACACAATTAAATCTCGAATAATATTAAGTTAAATCTTCAATAATATTGATCAATAAATACAATATGTTGGATATGGCAACCTCGAATCTTCTTGTCATGGCAATAATGAAATTTTTATTTAATTTTTTTCCACCAGATAAATTTGCTTGTGTTTTAAACTGAATTGTTTTATATTTGTTTCGTACAGGGACGATGTCACAATGCGAATGCTCTTTTTCGCACTGGGACGATAGTCGCCATACGAATAGGGAGTTGGTTTTTGAATTTCAAGTGACGTGTGTGTGCGATGAAGAATAATAATAAAATATAAAGGGCCGTTTACATAAGACTTTTGCTTCGCTTTGCTTCATAATTCCGCTTTGACAGATAAGTTCAATACATGATAGGTGCAATCCCGTATTCCTCAGACTCGAACTAGTGAAACTGTCAAAAAATAAAAATTCGCTCAGAGCGAGAGAGTAACATTGAAAATTACGGGATCGCTTTCTAGTAAAAAATGGTAGCTTCTGACAACTTCAACATAACCTCCAAATTTTGGTTGTAAATTTTTGCTTATTTTATATGTAAACACACTCAGCTCACACATGTAAATAACCAAAAATACTTTCAAATTCATTAGAATCCACTTCAACAAGTAATTAAATACTTTTCAACATGAAGCAGAGTGCACTTTTCTTTTGTTTACAATTTGGTCGCCAAACACACTACAGCTGATCGTTTGACACATTTACCAGCAAAAAATTCTCGGACTAAAACTAGTAACTTCTGACGGAGAGAGAACCGTATTTACTCTCTTTTTTGTCCTCTCAATAGTCAGAGAACCGAGTACGGGATCGAATTCCAGTAAAATCTGACTGTTTCTGACTAGTCCGGACTCGTACGGGATCGCAACTGATTTTATACGAGTCTTGCTAAATAGAATGCGAGGAAAGCAAACCGAAGCAAAATCATCGGCTACTCTCAACTTTTGCGCGCTTTGGCAATCAACTGTCTACATGTATCTTTTCTCGTGAGCATTTGCATTTAATGACAAAAATAAGGTAACTGGGAACTATTATTGCTATGATTAATGCATATTATTATTTTGTTATCTATTTTACAGATGTAAAATATGGAGGAAAAGGAGAACGCAAAAGCTGTCAAAGCGTTTATTGTAGCATACCTTCTCCTTTGTTGTCAAAGTTCGAACTGTCAAGCAAAGCGTTGCCTTTTTCCCTTCCAAAAAATAAGTGCATTAATTTGGTATTCGGTTGTGAGTGTTGGGGTTTTTCCTCCTTTTATTTAAGGGGGTTTCCTCCTTTTGTTTAAAGAATAGCATAATGCAGAATGCATTATGCAAAGACGTATTTCCGTTAGTTGTGGAATACAGTTTGGTCAGTGTCGAGCCGGATTCGGTGCCTTTGGTTTTTCTATTTTTTCAAAATGGATGCTAATAATGAGAGCGAGAGGGCGGAAGTGTGAAGCCGTGTTTTGTGAAGCTGCGTGAATTTTGTTTGCTAGATTATGGTGAAAGAAATGTTAAAGCGTTAGCATTCATTTTATTCAGTGCGATTTTCAAGTTAAAAAATTTTTTAATTTTTTCAAGCAAGTGAGTTAATACAGTAATGATATGGGCAAGGACGACTTTACCTTTGGGTTTTTTTTAGCAAATTATAACAAAAATTTGCTCCAGCTTTTGCTGAAAGGTAAATAAAAGGGCTCTGTGCATTTTTAGCGCATAATTGCAAAAATGCCAAATTTTGAGTTGTGACTCTTTTGAAGACGGTGCACAGTGTACGAAATTCGAAATTAGGACGACAAAAATCATAACTTGAAAACTAATGGATATAAAATTATGAATTTTTGCACATATCATTTTCGTGACGAAAAGTACGTTCAGGCAAAAAATTGTATAAATCCGCCCACCGCCACGCCCACTTCCCATAGGAACCACACATTGGAAATGAATGAAAAACCAAAATACACTATTAAATTAGTTTTTTATTAGACAGAATTTTTGCAAATTGACTTAACTCTCATCAAATTCAATATTTAATAATGGGTTTTTAAGCAATTTTAATATATCTGGAGTAATGGCTCCATGCTTGGTCTTGGGAGATTTCCTTAAGATAGAAATGTATGGATCAGACGAAATTAGAAGTCTTTTTAATAAGTCGTTGTTTGTTTGGGTTCGAGAAATTTTTCGCGTGAACTGCAATCTGTAGCGTTTATTGTCCTTATTTCTCGATTCTTGGGCTTCTTCAGATAATTGGCCGATAGGAAGTATGCAATGATCAATTACAACCTTGCCATGACAGAGCACTTTGTGTACCGTAACTGGCATATAATACCATGAATAAAGCTTTAAATATAGCTCCATAGTTTCAGACGCATAAAGATCAAATGCCTCTGCATCAATGGAATATCCCGACGCTAAGCATTCAAGTATCACATGAAATCGTTGCAAAAGCTCCAAATTAATTCCGGTTATTTCTGCTGACTTTTCTGAATTTCTAAAAAAGCGTCTGACCGTGTTGCCGTCATTTGTATTTCCACATGATTGCTTCGGCATATCTACTAATAACCCCATTTCCGATCAAAATTTCTCCTGAATAATAGTTTTTCTCCGCTGTACATTGCATTTATTTTCTGATCCCCGAACTTGCCATGATTTCCAATCTATAAGCTATATGCAACAAACATTCCATAAACCGTATCCACGAATGTAACGGTGACAAGCCAAATTCTAAAAGTTCAAGATCAATGTTTTTTTTTGATAAAATTGAAGTATTGTTCATTTCTGTTGGTTTTACCCCACACAAATAACATACTTGGGACGAATTATAGTTGGAAAGGGCTGTGCATACTTTTCCATCAATCATGCATAAAATTACTTTTGGGTGAACATATATACTAGGTCGGTGGACCTCATCAACAAGCACGTTCACTTTTGTTGGGCGGAGTTCTGCTATTTGCTCCTTGATATATTTTACCTCCATTTTTATTAAGTCAGTGGTCAAACATTATTTTAATAGGCCGGCAATGTCGAGAAGAGTTCGGAGCAGGATTTTGGTACAGTATCAGCTTCTCTCCTTTAAAATTATTCACATACATTTGAATTGGAACAAGGGATATGCTAAATAAGTTTTCATCGCTATTACGCTCGTCTGACCAATTTTGCTTATAAGAACTCTGATTTGCACCATCGCATCCCCATTTAAATAAAATTTGCAATTCATTGCCATTACACGAGTCTAGGTTCGCTTTTAAAACATCATTAATAGAAGCACATAACCTTATTATCGTGTGATCTATCAAAGACTGTAAATTTATTTCAGCGAACGATTCCGTCACTGTTATGTTTTCAGGGTAGCACAACTGTTTTGCAGCAAAAATACGCTCATTTTAGGGAAATAAATTAGGGCATATATGTTTGGTATATTGCTTAAGCAACCGATATTTGTTTGCGGATAAATCTAAATCCAAAATCATAGCTAACGCCTCATCAGGCGAAAGAGCTTCAATCTTATTGCTCGATGTTCTTAACTTTTTAATAGTATTACCTCTTTCTGGAGATGCGAAAGCAAGCTCTTTTACTATTCCTGCTGAGCTTCTCTTCCCGGAAGAGCGCATTTGCATTTCTGCTGCTAAAAGTAATTGACCACTGTCAATGTTTTCAGTAATTTTCTTAGCTTTTCTTTCTTTACTTCTTTGACTGCAACCATCGAAGCTAATTGCAGGTCGACCTCTGGGCTGGCTTTCCTTCACAGCAATATTTGTAAATGAAGAAAAGTCGATTGTACTTGAAAGCCATTTATCATTATCATGCAAAAAGCGAGGAACATAAACGCCAAGAAAAATGTTTAAGTTAATCAAAATCGATAGTTGTTGTTGATCCGCTGCTAAAATTCATAGTAATAAAGTTACATATTTTATCACATCTATCTTCTTTAAGGTTAGATAACCATACATCAAACAAAATTCTATGCGATATTTTAGAGGCGCTCATACTAAAATTTAATTTTCTCACAAAAGTGCAAGTATGTGCAGAATTTTATTTCTTATTTTTAAAAATAAATATATGTATGTTATATATATGTTCTTTGTTGTGGTGGGTGTTGGTGGAGTCAAAAGATCAGGACCGCTGAAAATTTACTTTTATTAGGAATCACTTGTAAAAACATGCCCTGAGTTTTTCATCTGTAAACAGTTACCTTTACTCAAAACACAAAAATATAAAAAGTTTAACCAGATAATAGCTTAAGTTATCTCCACCGAAAAAATTTTGAAAATATATTTATTACTTTGATAATTATAGGCTTTTAAAAATTGCACTAGTTGCGTTCGCACTAATTGTGTTTTTGTTTGTTTATTTTCCCTACTATTCGCAATACCGCTAGAAGTGTATAAACAAAAAACTTGTCGCATATATGGTATTTCTGGTATATATTGAGATTCTTCTTAATAATAGAGTAGCCAGATTAAAAAAAAAAGGAATATTAAAAAACCATTTTTGTCGTCTCAAATTTGAAGATCGAACACTGTGCGGTGTGCGATATGTAGGCATAGACAAAGTGTGTGCTTGTGAAATACATACATATATATGTATGAGATTTGAGAGAAGTGTATGTATAATAGCAAGGCGCAAGTGTAAAGGAATATTTAAAATGTTTGCTTGAATGAAATTACTTTTCACTTTTTTACTTTTAAAATATAGTAAAGAAGTTGCAGACAGTAATTTGCTGAGTGTGCATGTTGGACTATGTTAAAATTCGCGGAAGCGAGAAGATGCTGCATTGTTATTGCTAATGCACGGTTGCTGCTTCCAATTTCTTTTCCAGTCCAAAAAATTTACTAAGTGGTAAAAAATGGACCAATTTCTATAACATTGAGAAGTTGAGTGGAGTTTGTTGCTCTGTATCAAGAAAATATGCCAATTCCGTTTTTATTTATAATAATAATAGATTGGCGCTTTCACATATGTTAGTGTTTGGCCGAGCTTCTCTTCCGAATTGTGGCGTGCGCCTTGATGTTGCCGACTCCGAACGGCGATTGTATTTTTATGAGAAGCTGTTTTTCATGGCAGAAAAAACACTCGGAGGTTTGCCATTGCCTGCCGAGAAACGACCGCTGTTAAGAAAAAACCTTTTATCTATATTTTTTTTGCGATGTTGCTTTGACCAGGGTTTGAACCCAGGTGCTGCGGAGTGGAAGCGCGCACTGCTTACCACTACACCACAGTTTTTATTATATTAAATATATTTTAAAGTAACATTTATAATATTTACCTTAGAGTGGTTCAAAAAATGTTTTTTTTGTAATTCATAAACGCTGCCTCTCAAGATAAAAAAATACGTGTCTCTTTTTTTATCACAAATAAAAATATTCTAATGTAGCGTTTATGAAAGAGTGTTTTTATGAACCACTCTAATTTACGTATAAGGATAAATTGATATACATACATATCTATTACTACGTTTATACGAACGCATTATTTGCAAATAACAATTTGCAAAATGGAAAACTTTGCCGTATAAACGCTGAGTTAATTTTTTATTTGCAAATAACTAAATCGCGCAAATAAGTATTGATTATACCACTAATTAGTGGTACTATTTGCAAATAAGCGCAAGACCCTGCCATTCTTAGGTTAATTTTCCTTTTCGATGGACATATTGTTGCCTTTTTATAATCAGGCAATATTAAAAAAGAATTTTTCACCATCGAATAAACAGTGAGTTAGGTATTTGCAAATTATTTTTATTTGCAAATAGCTTACGTATAAACGTAGTATGTGTTCGTAGCTTATATATAAATGCTGGCTTTAGTAAAATGCGGCATTCGCAGCATACGATTGCGAATGGCTCACTGGCGCCGAGCCGTTGAAAAACTTGTGGCAAATAAACGTGCATAAATAGTTCCCATACTAGTATTGGACAAGAACGATAGAATACAAGATTGCGCATTCCCGCAGAATGACATTTGTGGCAACGGGTAAACAAAGAATATGGCGAAGAACAACGAGTTGACAGTTGTGAATTTGCAGTGAGAAAACGTGTTTTCTTCACGATTCACCAATTTCTCAAGCCATCTTTGAATATGGTAAATTAAGCACAACGTTAACAAAAAATATACAACCACTCTTGAAATGTGTTCAAAAGAATTGGTCTTATTAATTAACTATTTAGAATTTTTGTGTTTGTATTGCAGGTACCGAAAAAGTGATAATATCTTGTCGCAGTTTTCCTGCAGAAAGTGGTCGATCAACTAAGTTTGCGCCTTCTAAATCATGCACTGTGCATGTGGAATCATTTAAGTTGGTGAGTGCGTGGCAGTAATAACAACTTTGTGTCGTATTAATAAAAACTTTGCTTACAGGGGTTGGAAAAAATAAGTCGCGGCAAGCATGCCGGTGGTGATGCAGCTTGGGAAGAGGAAAAACTACGTTCTTATAAAACCAGTGAAGTGCGTTTAGTCGAGGTTCAAGAGCAGTTGTGTAGTGATGTTAAACGTGGACAAGATCAGTGTCATACCATGGCCAACGATCACGAGCCCCTATTAGAAGATTGGTTCTTGCACAAACAAAGCGATTCACCTGACCTACATGTTTGGTTATGCATTGACAAGCTGCTACTGTGTTGCCCTGGTGGTTACTTTGGACGTATTTGACGTAAAACCTACCACAAACATATATAGCCTGTTGCCCTACTTCTGGATTTGCGGGCTTTACAGGAAAAGCTGTTTTCGCCTTTAATAAACCTTATGGGAACGTGGCGCACGGGAACAGCTTCCCGTAAAACCTGCAAGACCTGGAAAACGGGAGCAGGCTAATAAAGTCTCGTGATTGGAAACCACGCACTATTCCTAATTTGATTTTACGTATTTTTCTTTATCATAGGAAAATGTAAGGGTTCTGGCACTCGTAAAGGTAATGGCAAATGCGCCTGTGATGCTGGATTTAAAGGTGAGAATTGTAATAAGTGTGCTGATAATCACTTTGAAGCCTACAATGACCCAGCAAAAAACACGATTCCCATCGCCTAGCTCGTTTCCACTTTCGCTTCTGTGGTAATC